TTTATCTCCTTATAGGTTCTCCGTGGTACTGTCAACCCGAGTTCAGGAGCCCCTGTGACAATCATTCTATTTCCCATGCCTGTGAACGCTGCCAATGCCGATCTACAGTCACAGATAGCACTCGCCCGATATACAAGTGCACCAAATCTAAATTCTCTTCCCGGAAAGCCCACATCCCCGCAAGCTGCGAGTAACATTCAAACGTCATCCCTCATTGGGTCAGCACCCGGCAGCTCTAATCCAATCGGACAAAGCATGCCCACCAATCTTCCTGCTGTCGTAAATCCATATGGTGCACACGGAAATAATGCTATACCAGTTAATCACCACAATCCCCCCGGACAAGGGGCGATCAATGCTGGAATTGGGCTCACCAATGCAAGTGACCCTGCAAGCATCCTCGCGAATAACCGAAAGATTGTCCAGATTCTCAATAAAATGGGGGGCACCGATCTGATAAAGAATTTGATGGAGTCTAACTCACTTCATCAGCAAGATTTGCGGCAAAACCCACGAGTCATGGAGCAAGTTCGAACATTACTCAGTCAACATCAAAATCAGCTTAGTCGAAATAGTATATCTGGTCTCTCGAATCCGAACAATCCCTCTTCTACCGCGGCAGGTCTCGGGGCCCCTGGAGGTACCGGAATGACCAATACATCTCTGTCACATCAAGACCTACAGGCCTCTTTGGCTGCTAGATCGGGTGTACAAACACTTGGTCAAAGTGGGGCAACCACAGCAAATGTCGGTGGCATTTACAACGCTGGGAGTGTTAATACTCTTCAACAACAGCGGCAGTTGATGGCCGCTCTTACGAACCGTAACATGTCAACTGGTGGGAATCCCGCTGCTAGTAACCCAATGCTTGCCGGGAATAATAGTGCCAACATGTTCAATACTATGGGTAGCTTCAATGCGGGGCTCGGCGGAGGAATGAACATTAATTCTGGAGGGATTTCGAACATGACTCTCAACAACAATATGAGTAGTAATCTCGCCCAGATGAATAACCTGGCTTCAAGCATG